GCTAATTCAGAATCACACTATAGTTTGAGATATATCTGTCTAGTAGCCCAGGGTCACACACCACTCAACCTCCTTGGTTCAGAAGAGGCCCACAGGTCACGACAAAACCATTCTTAGAAAGCTAGGGAAAAATAACACAGCCTTTTCACTTTTCAGATGGGGAAACTGAGGCTCAGAGAGGTGCCACAGCTTGGACAATGATAGAGCCTGACTCAAGCCAAGCCGGGATACACATTGGACCATGATGCAGAGTCCTCTGTGTCTCCCAGGAAGTTGCATCTATGCAGAAGCCTCCCCATTTCACCACCCTGTGTGCGGGTGACTGACTCCATCTTCATCTGCGCATCCCCAAGTCTTGTGGGTAGAGGGGCAGGTCCAGCAACTGAGCTACCTGCTCGGGAATTTTGAAGGGTCACTGGAGTTTAGGGTATTGGGGTACTGTAAGGATCATGTCTGAAGGTCAACAATTCAGGGGCAGGTAAGGTACCTCTCTCTATTTTCTAAAGGGAAGAAAACTTCCAGAGACTGTACAAACTTCCAGAAGTTGTACTGTACTTGGTGAAGGAAGGCAAAGGCTAATTTTCAAAGCTGGGTGGTGGGCACACCAGGAGGTCATATTATTAGTAATATTATTCATTCCTTCAACAGTAAACCCTCATGATAATTACTCTTTTAAAATTATTTTATGATATATCCCGTAGTTTAAAATAATGTATTTCATAATGAAAAAAATTAAAAGGAAATGAGATGTCAGAGGGAAGGACAGAGAACTTTCAGTGTGGTGGGGTAGGCATTTGAAAGACACAGTCTCGCAGCAGGATGAGGAACAAACACACTCGGCCCAGAGTTTGCTGACCCTGGAGCTCTTGGCTGCTGGTTCTCATAATCATCTAAGGCTTCGTTCACTGGAGCCACAGTTCATTCCATACACTGAGAAAAGTTCCAAATATTAAAGAAATGCAACTGAGATAGGAGAAAGTGGTTTTGTCATCTCAGAATGGAGCAGGAGTTTTGAATTATGGGTCAAAATCCAGAAGCCACAAAGAAATTGATAAATTGCACAGGAAAATGAAAAATCTGCATGAAAAAAAATAACATCTGCAAGTTCCAAAAACAAACAAAAATCTGGGGAAAATATTTGCAATCACACCCCAAATAAAAGGGCTCATTTCTCTAATACATAAATCAATATGAAAAAGCTCAACAAACCAATAGAAAATATAGCAGTTAAAAAAAGAACTACAGATGGCTTCTAATTGCATATGAAAATATGGTCAAATTTTACTGATAATAAGAAAAGTGCAAATTAAGAGAGACTTCAGCACATTTCACCCATAAGTAAAATGTAATGAGACTGATGACACACTGTTGGCAAAGACCTTGGGGAGATAAGGACTGGAGGTGCTCAGAACAGAATTCCCTCAGATGTTCAGAACAGGCCTCCCGAAAAAGTGCCATCTTGACATGATGGGTGTTTCCAGTTGTGGTTCACTGAGGCCCTGCAGGCTTACAAGAAACTTTGCCTCTCCCTTAACTATCTAGAAGAATGCAAGCTGGGGGCATTATCCAGAAATAACCTTCCTATTGGAGAAATCTGTCTATACAGCAGGACAATGTCTAATTACAGAGCATCTGGTCTTCATCATGTGTACCACCCTCTCCTTGTCATAAGAGCCCCCCACCCTCCTTAAAGCCCCCTATCCCATTCCTGAGCTCAGTATATACCCTCATTTTTCCTCACTGATCTTGGAAGCCTAGTTACCATGTAGATTCCCCAGAGTTACGTAATCAAGTTGTTTTTTTCTCTCCTGCTGATCTATCTGATGCTGTTTTGTAGATTACACTAGCCCAAGAAGAACCTAGAGCGGTAGGGGACAATTTTCCCTCTGCCCCTACAGCACTCTCATACACTGAAGAGGTCAAGATGAATTCCCTTTGGAGGGAAATATGTCAATATATATAGTCTTTGATCCAGCATTTCAAGAAATTTATTCTACATTGTATGTGGCTCACATATGAAGATATTCACTGCAGATAGTTTGCAACAGAGAAAGATTAGAAACTGCCTAGATGTCCATCAACAGAAGCCTGAGTGCACACTTTTGGTACCTGCATGCAACAGAAGACTATGACTCTGCAAAGACTAATTTGGACTATTTATTCAGTGGAAGGATACATGGGAAATCAGTAAGTGTAGAGGATGCCAGGGAGATAAATAGCATGGAAGGAAGACTCTTCATTGTTTATCTTTTTCTATACTTTTTCATTTTTGAATTATGCAAATGGATGATTTATTTCAAAAGTGAATTTAAATAATTAACCAAGGAGTCGTTTAAACATGTAAGCATTTTCCCTCAACATTCAGCATGCTAAACCTGAAGGTCCAGGGATGAGTGATGCTACATCCTCACCTCCTACCTATGGGATTATTTCTTTTCTTTTTTTTTTTAAATAATTTATTTATTTATATATATTTTACATCATTGTTCATTTTTTTACAATGTTTGCTTTCTTTTCTCAGGTGTGCTCCCCATAGAATTTTCACCACCAATTCACCCATGTACCACACTCCTTTAGCTCTCATCTGTGCAAAGCACCCCCTATGTGGGAGTGTAAAGCACCCCCTACGTGGGAGACTGACTATAGAGTAAACCCACCATCTGCCCAAGTTTGCCAAGATAGATGTTATAATTATTATATGGTTCCCAGAAAGCAATTTGTACAATTTATGGCCAAGGATGGCTTACATTTCTCTACCCTCTTTTGTCTGTATTGTAAAAAAAAAATGAAAAAGAAAGAAAATGACCCATTTTGTGCTCTGGGTGACAGATGGATGAAGGAGGAAGCGGCCAGGCTTCTTCCACTTTTTCTAGCCATCCACAGGCATGTTCATGGTCTGGCTAAAGTAACCATATATGATGACGAGAAGACCTCAGTGGAAATAAACAAACAAGCCCCCCACCCATGGCTAAACTGGAAAGTCCTGAAATTCTGGAAGGTTGGTCTTTTCTGGTATCTACAAAATTGAGCATGTGTACACTGTATGGCCTGCACTCGACATGGCACAAAAGACACACATCGAATGCCCTTGGAAGCACTACTCCCAAGAGCGCAAAACGGGATACAGCCCCAGCTGACCACATCAAGATGAGAAGAGACAGGTGAGTGTGTGGTGTCCCCACAGGGAAACGCCGCACGACAATGGGACGACACAACCGGAATGCTGTGCAATCTCACAACAAGAATGCACCAAGAACACACACGAGAAGGAAAACAGACCACACAAATGTGTGGTTATAATTACAGGTTAGTGTCACAGGCAGAATGAAGCTATGGCTTTGGGAAGGAGCATGGGCTGGAAGGCAGACGGAGCGGGAGGCTGGGGATGAGTGGTTGGTCTGTGCAGTCAACGAGCAGCATACTCAGTACCTGTACATTTCCTGCACGTTGTCCTGCTCTCATAAAAAGTTTGAAAGAATCATTCTAAGCCAGCGTGTGCAGTATGGGAATGAGATGTGTCCAAAACTTCTAAGTAGGGGCCTCCCCGGTGGTGCAGAGGGTTGAGCGCAGCAGCCTCTGCAGCATGGGTTCAATTCCCAGCTGGCCAGGGAGATTCCCACATGGCACGGCAGACTGCTCCTGCCTCGTCTGCTGCTCCCCTCAGCAGTGCTTTCGGCCCGTCTGCCTGTTCTGTTCCCCTCTCTGTCTCTGGTGAAACCTCTTGCCCTCCCGTGCCTCTGCCCTGTACCCCTGCTACTGTATTAAAAAAACCAAAAAACTTCTAAATAAGTGCTGTGCTAGGCGCTGTTGCAATACAGATTCCAAAGAGACTGATGGGACCTAAGAGCTACCAGCCTTAGCTGACAGCTCCTGGGAAATTATGCTGACACCCACTCTTGATGGCACAGGGGGCCTTTACCCCACCAGACACAAGGGAGCAGCAAGGCTGTGGAAAAGGGCTGCAGAACCACCAAGCGGAAGGGGCTGTTGATTAGGCTTCCCGGACGGTAATGCCCGGCCGTCACGTTTCACCGGTCAGGAGGCCTGACCGCCGAGATGCTCCGCGCAAGTCAATTTTCTGGATAAGCAAAACTTTCCTCATTAAACAAAGACTTCATTTAAAACAAAATCATTTTTTAATGGAACCCTTTCAAAAATGCATTTCACACATCCCTGCTTGCTGAGGAGTCTGCAGAATAGAATTTAACCTTTTCACCAAATAACAACACTCACAGTGAGGTCCCTCTGTGTGCCAGGCGCGGCCCAAGATGCTTTCATCAGATTTTCTCTCTTAATCCTCACAAAGTCCTATACTTTAGGGCCTGCTATTATGCCCATTTCATATAGGAAGTGGAGAGCAATTAAGTAACTGTCCGAGGCCTTTTGGAGAGGAGAGAGGCATCCTCTAACTCCGCAGCCGAAGCCCCAAGCCACTATGCTCTCTTTCTGTCACAGCTGCAGTGACTTCCAGTGCTGCCCTCTGGGGTACCCACAGGTAGACCAGAACCCTGACTGCACCTTTCATGATAACCGAGTCCCCCCTGCTTTTCTCTCCACATTCCTTTCCCCTCGCACCAATGTTACACTATTAGTTTTCCCAAAAAGCTACACTCCAAAGACTCCCATCTAAAATCAGATAAAAATCTATACCACTTTGCATTCACCACGTTAAATGAAGTCTCAGCCTCCTTAGATCTTTCTGTTTGGCTAAAATATCCCATGGAGTTGAACCAACTTCTTCATCAGTCTAAGGAACCCCCTCTGGCTTTCTGCACTTCAAAGTGTCCTGGATTTGCTTTTCCTTAACCCAACTCAGGAGGAGACCTGTGATGCCTGTCAGATTAACAAAAGCTGCCCGCAACTGGGGTCCATCCTGGCTGCAGCCACTCTCCAGATAACACAGGGGTGGGGACAGATAAGCACAGGGCGAGTGGAGAGTCATTTTCTGGAAGACTTACAGGCTGGCAGGCCTGTGGAGAAGAAGAAACCACCGTCCTTACCCCGATTTCAGGCTGACCAAGGCATCCTCCACTCCCTTCTGGTTAAATTTGGTCATGTACTGATGCATGTAGGGGTAGTTATTCCGAATGTTTCTCTCTGTACTTCCATTAGGCACAGTGCCAAATCGAAACGGTGGGGAATAGTCGTGGGGTCTCTGAAACTAGAGAGAGAGAGAGAGAGAGAGAGAGAGAGAGAGAGAGAGGTCAGCCATGGCTCTGTCAGTAGTCATGCATATACTTGCCTTAGTGCAAGACCACAAAACCAAATCAAAACCAGAACATGCTTTCTGGAGCTTCTTTTCTCCTTAACTACATCTTCCATCTTCCACGGGTCTGGTTGCTACGGGAGGCCGGAAGCAGGTCTGTCTTGCCTGTGCCATCCCCATGTGCCTCGCATAGCAGGGCATCCCTGCTTAGGGAGGCCCCCTTATTTGTTGAATTGGATTTGTAGGATTGGCCTCCCACAAAATATTCAGATAGACTTTTCCCCACGTGTCACATTGGCATGCAGAGCATAGGCTCGTGGTGGCCCTGTGTGTCTCAGGAGGAACGGTTACAACAGCTTAGAAGAGTACCCAGATGTGAGGTCATCTCTTCAGAAATGACCCTCCAAAGGCAGGGCAAATGTCCGCAGGCAAGGTTTGGTCATGGAGAGCACCCCTTCCTCATATCATTCCCTCTCCTCTGTCCTTGGTGCCCCAGGCGCCAGTCCTATTCCTTAGCTCAGGTTATAAACTCTTGGTCAGTTCCATTTACTTCAGAATTTCCATTCATGTCTGTTCTCCACCCGCGTAATGGAATTTCATCTTTTTCTCCCACTAATTTATCTGCCTTTGTTCATGTGTTTACTTGCCCAGTAGGAGACGCACCCGAAGGGATGGGGGGGCCTTCTCCCTGGCCCTCTTACAGAATTTTTGTCCTGCTGTAGAGACCAGTTTAGTGATGGTGCCCAGGCAGGGCTCAGAAGTGCCCGTTGAGCTGGGATTAAGGTTTTACTTCAGTTCAGTTCATTCATGTGCCTCATGATGACCTCTTCTGTGATCCTCACTTTCCCGCCTTTTTCTGAACTCCACTCACCATGTGTTCACTGGACCCAGAGAATAATAGGGGGGCAGAATTTGTAGCCCAAATATGCCTCTTTGGCCTAAGGATTATTTTAGGCTGGTTATTATTTTTTTTTAAAGTAGACCATTGCCACACACTCATTCTCTGCTCACTCATTCACTCAAGCGTGCATTCATGCACGAAGGCAGTAGTTGTGGGGACCAGAATGGCAGGCTCCATGTTGAACTGAAGTTCCCACTAACCATGAGGGGATGCCCATGTCTTGCTCTCGAGACTCCACACAGACAGGTTGTCCATGTTTCCCCAGGCCCCTTGCCTGGCTGATCCTGTCTGCTCAAAGCTGCAGCACTCGGAGCAACCCAACCAAATGAGGCAAGAACTTTACAAATGTTGCCTCATTTAATCCTCACAACAGCTCACCTAAGAGGCTCCATTCTACAGGTGAGGACACTGAGACTCGGAGAGGTGATGCAACCTACTCAAGAGGATGGCCTGGGACTCATACTCAGATATGCCTGTCCACAAGCCAATGTGAACTCTCATTCCTCAGAGACCATTGCTAGTGACCCCTCCTCTTTCAGAGGGGAGGACCGTGAGACCCAGACAGGGCAAGTCCAGGGCGACACCAGAATCAGTAGGAAACTTCTCCTAGCCCCGAGGCCGGCATGTCTTTCATGGAACCGAGACCTGCCAAAGACAGCATCCACATTTACCCAAGAGCCAGGCTGACCAGAAACATTAGTCTTTTCTCCAGACTCACACCTCATTTCACTGTTAATTAAAATTTCTAGTTGAAAATCATTTTCCCTAAATTAGGCGTGCTGCTGCCTGGTAAGCAGTCACAACTGGATTTGGGGGAGGTGGCCTTACACTGTCCAAATGAGCTCCTCCTGCTGGGCGCCCTGTGCTGGAGTGTGTGCTTGAACAGCAAAACGCTTTGTGCTCACCCCAGCAAGCAGTGTTTCAACTAATCCCCAGGAGAGGCGGCGGACCAGCCCGGGCTCTCTTGCAAGGCAGCTGCCTGCTCTGAGGCCAGAGGCACGAGCGCTGTTGTTCATAAATCTAGTTGTTGTAGCAGCCGTTCCCAATCTCCAGAGGCCTCGGGAGATGGCCTATTTGACTAAACGCCTTCCACTTCACTCCCCATCTGTTGCAGCGGAGCCTTATCGCTCTCCCAGGTCCCTTCCTTCCTGCCCCGGGTTTGCACAGTGACAGAGACAGATCTTCAGTCTCGGTGATGAATCTCCACGCTCCCTGGCCCTGACTGTTCCATCACCCACACGGAATTCAACCGGGCGCCAAGATCTAGGAACCCTTCCCGCTAGACGAAGGGCTGTCAAACTTTTTGAAAGCATGACTCACAATGCGTTTTCCATCTCCTCCCCGTACATACACACACACAAATCTGCACAGTGCTATTTCTTTGTGTGACATACTCTGATGTTCTAGTGTCTTAATGGTCACAAACCTTAAATTAATTGCATGGCTTGCTAACGAGTCACAACCTACAGTGCACAAAACGGTTAGGGGGAGTGAGGCTCGGCTCCTGATGCAGGGCCTGGCTTCCAGGACACACTCTGTTTCTTACAGGAATGATGGCTGCTGCAACTGTCTTCCCAAGAGTTGCGTGCACAAGCAGAGAGAAACAAATGAGAGCTTTCACAAAGGAATGGGGGTGCAGAAGTGCCCAGTTTCAGCGAGACCACAGCACAATGTAATCACGGTGCCCAGGGTCCGCAGGTCTCCAGGGCCTCTCTTTAAGGCTGCGCCATGCCCCCAACCACACCCCTCCCACCCCATTCATGTTAGCTGGATTCACCTGGCCTTGGCCTTAGGCACAAATTTTCACCTGCCCCTTAGGAACCAAATACTTGGGGGAAGCCCCTTATGTTCTCTCAGTCTCAGTTTCTCCTTCAATAAAATGGTGTTGCTCTTGCAATTAATCATACGGTGCTTGAAAGAATGCTAGGCATCCTGTAATGCCTTATATACATTCCCTCCTCACATTTGTTACCCAGCGCGACTTTGGTCAAATAATAGAGTCAACCTCTCTCTGATTTGGAGAACAGAAGAGGATTACAGTCTAATATTCTGCTCTGCATTTTCCCATTCCATCTGTAAACAGGCCTGAAAGTCACCCAAATTCACAGAGCAAATGGTGAAGCCCAAATGCAGCCATTCACCAGGACAGCTCTGCTCCACTGACAAATAAAAAACTACTCATTTAATAAAATATGTCTTCTGTGACTGTCAACAAGGGACATTTGGCAACTGAAGCCCCTACTTCTAGGGTCTTCTCCCATCAGTGAGCGCCTCATGCTTCCCGAAGTCAGCATTAAATAGGGGCGGCCCTAAATGGAGGCCCCCATTAGGTCAGTAAGTATGGGCGACTAGGACCACCCAGCAGTAGAAGCACAAACCCCAGAGACAGTACGATCCTATGAGAACACACTTGTGGGCTCGTCTACCAGGCCAAGTATCCACACTCTCTCCTCTGCTGTTCCCAAAGGCCAACTCAGCACAGTAGCACTTCAGACCCCAGCAGCGAGGCATGGGGCAATCAGGTGGTGATGATAATCAGGAGGAGCGGAGAAGGAGGATGGTGGTAAGGAGAGGGGAGCAACAGTGGACTGGGGAGTGGAGAGAAAGGGCAGAGGGAAGAGAGTGGAAGGAGCGTGAAATTAAAGCAAAATGGGTGGTTGGGCCTCCCCGGTGGCGCAGCAGTTGAGCGCTGGGTTGCGAAGCTGCCCACGGCCTCTGCAGCACCGGTTCGATTCCCCGGCTGCTCCCCGGCCACCTGAGGAGGGTCCCACATGGCGCGCAGACCTCTCCTGCCGCCCGCTGCTCCCCTCAGCAGTGTACTTCGGTCCTTCTGCCTGCTCTGCTCCCCGCTCTGGCTCTGGTGAATTCTCTCACCCTTCCGAACTTCTGACTGTACCCAGTGCTAAATAAATAAATAAATAAATAAATAAATAAATCTTTAAAAAAAAAAAAAAAAAGGCAAAATGGGTGGTTAAATTGGCCACAGATGCTAAGAGCACAAAAGAGAAAAAATCTTACAGAAGATAGAGAAAGAAAAATAAAAAAAACACATCTAAACTTTTCTCTGAGACTTGCTTTTGCAGACACAGCAGTGGCTGGAGGCTTATTGACTAGCCTTGAGGTGAGTCCAAAGGTCAGCCGGAGCCAGGAGACTGCTCACATGGGGGTTGGGGGGCTCCCAGAACTGAGGGACCCACCAACAGAAATTCAAAAGTCCAGGGATCTGGGGAAAAGCCTCTGCATACCCAATGAACTTCAGCCAAGCCCATGTTTCTTTGCCCCACCCCAGTTTTCAGCCAAAAAAATATATTAACTCCTTTGTTCTCCACTTTGGTGCCCCCCAAACCTATGTAATCTATTTCCTGTCCTAATGCAGGGGGCAGATTTAAGTTGATCTCCTGTCTTGTTGCCAGTTGATTCACAATGAAACTGCTTTCCCTTCTCACAACCTGCTGTCGTGGTTGTCAGCTCCTGTGCGCACTGTGCAGTGAGTCCATTGCTCAGTAACAACACTGACATGATACAATCCACAGTGTGCCAGGCAGTGTGAGGATGATTTGTCACCTCCCTATCAACCTTGCCCGAAAGGTATTAATATTCCCCCCTTTATTAGGAAGTTAAGCCTGGGGAGGCTGCCAAACCAAAGGCCACACACCCACTGTCTGATAAGGTCAGGACTGAACCCAGGTCCCTCAGGCCCCAAATACAATATTGCTCTTCCTGCCCCCCGGAGATGTTTTCCTGTACCAGACTGATTGTCAACATTTTGCAGAGTCTCCACCAACATTCCAGGTTATTTTTTTTTTTAATTAATTCCCAGGGGAGCATTTATCTATGAATTCAACTATTTATAATTTAAGTCCAGGCTCATCTGAGCACACCATGGGCTCCAAAGTTTCTTTTTTCACAGCAAGCCCTGGTACTGCGAATAACTTAGAAGTACTATAAACCTGAGTTGTTGCACGCATACCCATGATTTTTTTTTTAAAGAGTGAAAGAAAAAACACTGGTGTATACAGAATCAAAATAAATTGATTCAATATAGATTTTTATCTTGCAAAGCTTTTTGGTATATCTGCTATTAATCTTGTGGGAGCATTTAGCTTATTTACTCCAAGAATTTTCTTGTTTATCTAATTGTATCAAACATTTAATTAAAAGAGCTATCTGCTTGCAGCTAATGCTCTGAGCTCGGAAACAGAGCTGAGTCTCATGAGGGTCTTGGATCTGTTACGAGGTGTTTCCAAGTCAGAGAAGGTCAGTCAAATTATTAGTGGCTCTAATTAGTTTTCCCACAAGCGATCCTGCTATTCAAACCCAAAACTACGTAGCAAGGGTTTATTTTCTCCCCTAGCCGCTGAAAATAGCAATGCAAAGCAAGATACACTGCTAACTACTTTCTGGAAAAATCATCCAGCCCAGGACTTGGCTGCCCACTGCCCCACTGTCCCTCCCACTGCTTCCTCTCAGACCTGGGCTTTGCGCCTGAATGTGATGGCATCACCGACAAACGGTGCTTTGTGTCTGCAGAGGATTTTCGAGGCTACAAGGCACTTTTATTTCTGCAGTCTCCTTCCAGCCTCACGACAGCTATGATTGCCAACATGCAGAGAGGACTAAGGAGGCAGGGAGGGTTAGGTGACTACAAAGCATCACACAGGTATTAAGTGGCAAAGAGGAAACAGGAACCCAACTTGGCCCACTATGCACCCACTAAGAGCAGCGCTTTATCTGCTGCTTACAGCTGCCCCATGGCTTAGGTGGGGGTCTGCCAGAAGCCAGCCCTGGCCAAGGAATTGGGGGAACATGATTTATTAAGGAAGGGCTCCAGGAGGAACAGAAAGGAGGGCAGGGAATGGAGGAAGCTAAAGGTGTGATTTCAGGCAAGGTCTCGACCTCACTGAGACCCTACGAGGGGCCCTGCAGGGCACACAATGCCTCCGCCTCTGCTGTGCTGAGAGGTGATGGGGCGGCTGGGCTGTGCTCACACCATTAGCTCCGGCTGCGGGGACTGAAAACATGTGGGAACTTAAACTTCTGGGCATTCACTGCCCCATGCCCAGAGGTAACCACCCTCTGTGAATCCCTCATGAGCCTCTGCCAGCAAATGATGGGCCGGGGACACAGAGCTGGAGTAGGGGGCCCAGCAGATACAGGTGGAGTAGCTACAGTGTCCCCCACACTGTGCATTTCGGTGTACAATCAGGGGGGCTCCCAAGTGCCAGGTAACATGCTCACACCCTCCCCTGACAGTTCCTTCCCCCAAATCCATGTCAATCTCAGCAGCCATCTCCTCTACAACACTTACTCCTGCCTGGAATTTTCTTCTCCATCTGCTGTGTGTTTATTTCTTCCTCCTAGCATTTCAGTTTCAGGGCAGCGCAAGCTCAGGCTGCCAGGCTCGCCACAGTGGCCAGAACAACCTCTCCAAGACTTAAGACCTGAAAGTCGAGGAGGACCAGCCATGAGAATAACTGAGGGAAGAATGTGCTGGAAGGGGGCAGGGCACTGCAGCTAAGTAAACTTGGAGGGTTCAAGGAACAGAAAGGGCTTTCATGGGAAAGAGGAGGGACACGTGGGGTGAACTGGGGGTCCCGCGGTGCACAGAGTGGCATTTGCTCAAGCTATAGGGAGAAGGCATCAGTGACCCGCCCCCCACAGGGGTGATGGCCCTGTTGTGGGGGTGACTCCCCAAACCCCATGGTCTCCTCGGTGTCAGTCCTCTCTGACATCTTTCAAACACAGCACATGTCATGGAGAAACTGTTATGGCTTTTCACAGCCTGATTTTCCATTCAGCAGTGTTGATGAATGCCAAAAGGATAGATGTAGGCTTATGTCAACAAGATGCGAAGTGCAACTTTCTAAAGAGAGACAAATTAGCCATACAAAACCTGTGCTGCGCTGCAAATCGGACGCTGCTGAGCTTAGCAAGTCAGGACGTCAAATCTCCATAAGAGGCTGCACCCAATCTACCGCCTTTCTTCCTCTACGTGCTGTTCTGAATAGACACTCACACCCCACAACTCGTGTCCCATTTCAGGGGGGAACGGAGAGAGCAGGTGTTATTACTTCCCTGCCGTTTACTGATGTGGGAAGCGCAGCCCCCCAAACAAGAAGCTCAGATCATCTGAGTAACACGAACCGGGGAGAAATGTAAAATCTCTCTGCTCCACTTGTTTTGGGGAGTTGGGTTGGGAGTGTTGATGATGGGGCTACAGTGTACAAAGGAGCCGTCAGCTTGTCTCCAGCAGAGCTTAGAGATACCAGCTCATGGCACGGAAGGGGAGCCAAGGCCACAGTATTTAAGAGACTCATCAGGGTCACAGGACTAGGAGGGAACTATAGCCTAGAGCACCCAAGTTTCTCCTCCCCAACAATGATCTTCCTCAACATCACATTCTCCCTGAAAGGTCAAGTTTCAGGCTAAGCTACAACATGCCCTTGAGTCAAGGGACGTGGCAAGCAACATCGGCAGATCATAGAAATCTGAGGAATGACCACCTGGGGAAACCAGACTTGCAAATTCGATCTGTAATCCTTTAGCTCTCACAGAGTTAACCTCAAGTTTTTCTTCCTGAAATGTTTAGAAATATGCCAATTTCACTTAAGAAAAAAAAAAAAATCCTCCGGCTTTTTGATGGAGAGATGGAGGGTTTGGACAAACAGTCTGAAATCTCTCCCTTCCAAAGGGAGAACGTTCAAGGTCAACCCCCAGGCACAGGTGAGAATAAGGTGACCTTACCTTCTTGTCACTGAGGCCAGTCACTTGGTCCACAAATTCCTCCTGGATCATGAAGGCAGCCAGGTTGGCCGTGTAGCTGGCCAGGAAGATGACGGCGAAGAAGGCCCACACGGACACCATGATCTTGCTGGTAGTCCCTTTGGGGTTCTGGACGGGCACGGAGTTGTTGAACACCAGGCCCCAGAGGAGCCATATCGCTTTCCCAATCGTGAAAGAAGGCCCATGCGGTGCTGCAAACGACAGAAGGGACATTCTCAGCGCTTCCTCAAAACCGGGCCAGGACCTGGCGACATCTGCGTGTTGGTGAGCATTTGCTAGCTCCAGGGTGCCCAGCGGCGATGCTGATGGTTCCAGAAGGTGGATTATGTCATGGCTGTCACCTTCGTTGCCCCAGAACCATCACCACAGTTAGTCCAATTGTTAGGGGGAAAAGGCTGTCCTAAAGCTAATTCCATACAGGCTTTGTGGACTCCACCCCCACCCCAGGCCAAAGCCAAAGACACTGGGAACTCCAAATCCCATCACCACTGAAGGGAAGGTGGCTGGGACCTGAGGGTGGGGTTAAGCAGCCAGGTGTGGTATAAAGCCAGACACGTGGGCTTTGGGGGGGGGGGTTCCCTTTTTTGGCTCTCCGCCAGCTTGCAGTGCTTGGCCAGCTCTCGGAGTGCCTTTGGGTTTCCAGGTTGGCAGATCAGGTAGGACGCATTAAAGACTTTATTTCCCTATTTTCTCCCTGAGTTGTACATTTCCTTAATTCCCTTTCCCTTGTAAATAAACCTTTTATTAACCTTTTGTGTGTGCCTGTAGTGGAGTATTAATAAGTCCCTTTTAAGCGTGCGGGTGAGGACCCCATAGCTAGGCAACCCGTTTTATATCGGGGTTGCTCCATAACAGTTTTCCTTTAAAAATTAGCATTCTACTCATATTTCTATCTAGCTGCATTATGTGTGTGTGCCACTTTTTTTAAAAGAAAAAAATGAGAGAAAGGAGGAGAAAATAGTTATGCAAAATGTGGGTTTGAATGAGAGGTAGTGTTATGACCTGTTTTAAATTTGGATTTGATTTCTATTTGGTGGAACCAATCTCCTTAATAAATGTAAAGAGAGCCTTACAAGAGCGTGTGCGTGGGTGTTTCGGTATCCCTTGGCCATGCAATCAGAGAGGAACCAGGCAGCTCCACAGGGCGGATGTTTGGTATTCTGATCCGATGGTCCCTAGCAATTGCTCCTGTTAAAACTCAGATGGAGAATCTGCACAATATAGGAATTAAACTCAACTAACACCCTCTCCAACTGGAGACATTTAAAAAGGAACAACAGAGCTTAATTCTTCCGACGCATCACAGATGGAAGACTTTTGGTTGCAGGGTCACGGAAAATGCATAGCACTTTTTCTCCCTCTGTGTATCCTCGCCAGAGCTGTGTGTCCCTTTGAAGGGTCTTAAATGTTCCTTGCAATATACTTCACTAAGGAGGTAGAGCAACATGCCCGAATCACTGAGGTGGGGAATACGCGGACTGTAAAATGCACACAGTGGGGCCCTCAAGCCCTTTTGGCACAAGGGGAAAAAAATCAATGAATGCCCTCATTTCATGGGGAAAAAGGTCTTCCTTATCAGAAGGTTAATTTTCATGTCATTTAAGTAAATGAAGATATGAAAAAATGATCTACTCAGAGTTCAATTGGCAAGGCAAGCAGAGTGGGCAATAAATAAAGTGGCACCAGTGAATTTAGATTGATGGAAGTTAAGGAGGTTCTGGGCAGGCAGCCTAGGAGAGGGAAGCTCTGCATGCTGGAGGCCAAGCGCAGGCTCAGCAGCGCTTCGAACATCCATATGCAACACATTAGGGGGAGGCAATTAATTCTATTATTCTCCATCTCCATTTCTCCTGTTCCTCTTTGGCTAGTTTTATAATCTTCTGGGCTTATTCCCAAGAGCGGAGAACTCTTCGGAAACAACAGTCAATCCAGTTAACTTCATGAACGACTTAATTTTATTAGAGATGCATGTTGATCAGAAGCGACAGCGATGTGGGAATCAGAAACAGGCAGTTGCAAGGGATCTGTCCGAGGCTTGTGGGAATTCTTGATTCGTGAATACTGTTACTAGGGCCATATACTTTTCCCTCTGAAGTGCAGTGAGATGTAACTGAAAACCCTTCTGTGTAAAGAAACAAGTAGCTGTCATTTCCTGAGAGCTTCCATATGGAGATGAGCAGGAAATGAAAAGCCTGCAGGTCTTGGAAGGGCTCAGTGGGCCCGCTGGGTTCCTTTCTTCACAGAGGTCTTCCAGATGTGCTTCAGCCAAGGAAGTCATCGTACACGACGGGCTTTTCACAGGGTGTTAGCCTCCAAAATAGACCTCACTTATCTTGATCTCCATGACCCCATCCCAGTCTAAAATTGTAACCCTTGCCCTTGGGAAACTTGAACGTATTCCTAACTCGTCTCTCTCCTCCCCCTACTGCCCGTTCTTCCCTTATCTTGATGGGTAACCCCACCGACCTTTCCACAGGGTCCATGTCTCCTCACCCCTTCCTTTCACGCTATTTTGAAAAAAAGCTCAAATGCAACACTCTATTCCTCTAACTTTATCATATCATTGTCCATCCCACGCGTGACTTTTCTGCTTCCTGAGCAAGACAGCAGCCTTTCCAAGGCCTTTGCACTTGCTGTTCCCTCTGCCTGGAATGCTTTCCCCTATCTCCCACCTGCCTGGATCCTCCTTACCCTTCAGGTCTCAGCTCAAATATCCTCTCTTCTGAGAGTCCTCCCTTGTGTGACCATCCTATCTCAAGGAATACCCCCACCCATTCGTGTTCTCCTTTTCCCCTTCTACTTGAGATTTAGTGCAGTCTGTGATTATTAATTTGTGTGTTTACATATTGTCTTCACAGCTAAATTTTCAGCTCCGCAAGGGCCAGGAAGTCTCTAGCTGATAACCACGTTATTGCCTTCACCAATACAGTGCTTGGCACATAGTACCTGCTCAATAAACACCTGTCAGATATATGTGTGAATTCGCAAGCAGCTCAAGGTCTGACTATGTAACACAAGGACTGACTCTGCTGCACTATGATCACTCACAAAAAGTTGTCTCAGACTTCACTCTCGGAGGTTCCCTGCTCCCTCCTGATTAGGTCTGCCACCCTTTTCATGAAGGCTGATGATTCTCCCACTTAAGTGCAACATGATTATTTATGACAGTTTGACCATGGTTGGTTGATTGAAGAGGGTTTATGTAGTAATCACTACTCTTCGATGGTTAAGACGAAGTGGGAGGGTTGCAATCAAACTAAGTTCCTAACAAATCCCCATGATCTGCTGACTGTTTCTGATATTAAGTCTTCCAGTTGAACAGCATATGTAGCAAATTAAGCCTTGTCTTTGAATGACAATGCCTTGAAGATCCATTGTCTGCCACCATCTCAAGTCATTCCCCAGGAAGAGATTCAGTCTTGGCACCCTTTTGATTCCATCCACTTAGAATGTGTCAACGTGTGTTGAGGAAAATGCACTCAAAATGATGTAATGTGTTTATGCACGAACCCTGGCTTGTGTGGGAGCCTCTTAATGAGTTATAGCCAATGAATGCCTCCCTATTCAATTTTCTGTCTACTGATTGCCACTTTATCAAGTACAGTGCACTAAGGTCAGACATTGTCAAGAGAAAAATATAACTATTTGGGGGAAAATACTGCTTTATATTTATTGTCAAGTAAATGAAGTATGATTTAGTGGCTTGGAGAGTTCTCAAACTAGATTTTAGGAAGGCATTTTCTTTGCATAAACTGAAGTTGAGATTCATTACAATTTTAACATTTCTTTTGACACACTTTTTCAAAATTGTCAGAAAAACTTCTTCAAATCTCAATCAGCAGTTTTCACCTGACTATCATCACCATTCTAACAAGATTAAGATATTTCACTGTACTTGATCCCTTTTTTCAGCTGCAGTGAATAATCCATACCTGTATGGCATTACAAGTGACAGCAATGACCTAGCGCCATTCACGTGGTAGACTAGCGAGGCGATATAGGATGGTTGTTCTAAATGAGAAATCTTCATCAAAAGAAATTAAATAGCATCAACTTTGAATCATGCAGAAGGAGGAGGCCTCACCTTTCCCTTTGGCTAAGTTTCTGTTGTAGCCCACGGGACTGAAGTACTCAAAGACAAAAACAGCAATGGCTGAGACAATGAGCAGCATCACGAACATCATCACCCAGACGGAGGCGCTGAACGGTTCTGCAGGCAAACAGACCAGATGACGGGAAAGGGTCAGTTAGTTCCTCCTCACAGTCAGGGCTAGCAGGAAGCCCAGAGGTCCAACTGCCAGCTCACCGAGAAACTTTTCCTAATGTGAATCTGATCTTTCTAAAGAAGCTATCTTGTTCCTTCATATTTTTAAGTTATTCCTTAGTCTACAAATATTTGAGGCACTTGATACAACTGCATGTAACAGGATAAAAATAGAGAAAGACCACATGACACTTTACAAATCAGGTCAGGGAAAATAAAAAACAAAATAGAATGGTAAGATCAAGGGAGAAAACTGAATGCAAACAAAGAGGCTACCACCAGACTCCTACAAATCAGCATGGGTTTTATTTTCATTTTTACTTTCTGGATCATAAAATTGAGGAGTTGACAAGAATATCAGGAGGACCACAGCCTGCCACGACTATGACCACACTCTCCATTTCACCTTCTGCCCAGACAGAGCAGATCTCTATAATTTAAAAAGCTTAGAAAAAAGGAACCCTTGTGCACTGTTGGTGGGAACGTAGACTGGTCCAGGCCCTATGGAAAGCCAGATACTCAAAATATTAAAAATAGATCTACCAGGGCCTCCCCGGTGGCGCAGCAGTTAAGCGCTGGGTTGTGAAGCTGCCCGCAGCCTCTGCAGCACCAGTTTGATCCCCGGCCGCTGGGTGAGGGTCCCACATGGCGCGGCAGACCTCTCCTGCAGCCCGCTGTTCCCCTCAGCAGTGTTTTTAGTCATCTGCTTGTTCTGCTCCCCACTCTGTCTCTGGTGAATCCTCTCATCCTCCCGTGCCTCTGGCCTGTACCCCAGTTCTTGTATAAAAGTAAATAAATCTTTTAAAAAAGGTATGAATTAGTAGGCATCAGGGTAGTAATGGGTATATAGTAATTTCCTCTGAAAGCTGTTTTCATCAGTTATTTTTATGTAACTTAGGCAATAGGTGGATGTCTCAGCAGGGTAGCCAGGTCACAAGGTGCTAAATCCTAGAACCTCCACATTCCAAGAGTTGGAGCAGTTACTTCTAGAATATTAAGGGATATTAGGTAAAATAAATGAACATTTCTATTCAACATAATTTAGAATATAAAAATGAGTTGGATGGAGTCATTTTATTCGTGTATGACATAGTTTTGCTAGGCTTTCAACAGAGATTGAAATTTTATAAATGAATGCATCTCCATCTAATGCATTATTCCAAAGAACCTGCCATTGGACACCAATGAACTCATAATCCTTTTCATCATAAGCAAACATTTTCTAAAGACAAAATATAAGAAGCCCAATACTTATTGAATAGAAGACATTTTATTTTCTAAATTACTTTTCTGACGAAGCTAGTAATAATCATAAGGAACTAGGTCTACAGCAGGCCACCTTCTTTTTAAATTCTGTCCCCACCTAACACAGCTAGAGGTCATCACAAATTCCAACGTAATGAGCTAACATATAACAAGAAATTTTCATGTCTGAAATTTTAACTATAGTGTATAATGAAAAAACTGGAAGTGATGCTTTTTGGTGCAGAATTGATAATGCAAATATGCCAAAAAGCAACTGGTAGCAACACAACTTACTTGACTTAAATAATGTAAGATGAACTTGAAGAAATCAACGAGACGATAATTGAAATTTATCTTAGTTAAATCTAGCTTGAGTAATTAACAATACTATGTCCTTGAAATCATAGCAATTTGGTAATGAGGTGTATCCAAAAAGGAGGAGAAACAGAAGAATAATTAGGAGGTTAAAAATTACTTAATATTCAAACACAGAAGTTAAAGTAATTCTCCAGTTGAGTGTACTAATGACATAGTGTGTCTTTTCAGAGGAGGACACGCTGATGAGTGTATTATGATGAGTAAATAAGCAAACGCATGCAAAGTATTTGGTGTTGTGAGCTGGATGCTGTGTACACAGATTAAATGAAATATCTGATTTCATGATTAAAGCCAGAATGGACATTGGCTGTGTGCTGTCCAGGGTCCTGAAAGAAGCGTCCCTCATACTAATTAATCTGATAACTTCCTTTTCTCTGCAGGCTGTGATGACATTATAAAAATATTCTTCTATTCACATGTCAGAATCTGTAAACCTGCAGTGGGCTTCATTGACAGTCAGTGCATCCTACTCATTAACTGGTCAGAAAATTAAGTGGAAGCTGAGCAAGCATGAAGTGACAAACATCTGTCCTTTGATTTGAGCAGGACACATAGTGCATCAGAACAATAGTGAGGCATTGTCTGTAGTGTCGAAGGAGTGACCCGGAGATATATTTAGTTAGTTCTGGATTACACCCTCTACTGGCTTAAAACAGATTCAACATTTGTCCATGAAGGAACTTCAAACTAGGGGACTCCAGGTCAGCGTTTATTTGGATCAAAGAATGGAAACTGCTCAGAAAGTCTTTAGAATTAACTGAATGGAAATATCACAAGAGACGTCATCTCTGTCCTTGAAGAGTTGCTGGTTACATTTTTACAGAAAAGCTAGAGGCATTACCTGCAAGTGTTTCCGATGTGAGTTAATGGAGTTTGCGGAGGAGAGAGAATAGGAAATAATGAAGAGTAATGCAATCAGATTTTGAATGTTTTGGCTCTTCCAGATGACTGAGCCAGTGAATGGAAAAATGTAGCTTAGCACGGTTCATTATGACTTTGAAAACCTGCAGATAATGGCCGTAAATAAGGGGTGCACAATCAAATAGGGATGCAATTTAGTGATGAGGAAAAATATTAAGCCTACTGTGTAAAACAGCTTTGAAAATGGTTTCCTTAGGCTATAATTTATATTATTTTATTTTAAAAGATACAACAGGAAACGTAGGGGCAAAAAAAAAGGTTTGGCTAAATTTAGCAGAGAGACCTGACTTTTTAATGGAAATGTGCTATTAATGCAGGTAAGATAAAAAATCTAAGGAAACTGGGTTGAGGCCAGATTCAGTATTAGTGACCCGACCCATTTTTATGAGACAAGTCGATTGATAGTTTTTTTTTTTTTCCTCTCTGATGTAACTAGAATAAAGTTCACTCTAGCTCACAAAGGGGACATCGGACCACCTGTGAAAAGAAACAGATCTCTTTCTGTTTTTCCCATGAACTCACTTTCTCCAACATTTTCTTGCCTTTCTTGACAGACCCTTGTTAGGGACTGGGGGAAAAATGACTGGAATAACTAATAAGTGAGAGTGTTTCCAATAAGTACTAAGATTCTGGAGGTATTGTTGGATCAGGCGGCTGCATGTTCACGGTAGAGTACGAGGTTCCCTAATAAAGAGACAAAAGTCCAAAGGGAACACAGTGAGGTGTGCGGTTGTCAAGCTCCGTGTAGCTCCAACAAAGGTTATAAAAATTGAAGCAATGAGTATAAAATCAAATCCAGTGACTGACACGGATTCCAACAGCTTAAATGGATTATCAAAAATGAAAACATTAAAGACATACACCTGTCTCTGTGAGTAAGGAAGTATCCAAAATCCTGATAGTCAACATTTCACTCAAGAGAATGAAGCATATAAAATTTCAGTGGATGCTACATGTCAATGAAGAAAGTGATGATTCAAAGAATGGGCTTGGAGTTGGTGTTCACACTTTACCTCTTGCCTGCAGTTTAGACTCTAATGCATAAAAGGTTGATTTCTTTTGTCTCTGGGAAAAAAGTAAGAAATGGAATTGACCTTGAACTGTTGTCCTTCTCTTGTGCAGTTTTCTTTGGGGGAGAAGTGGACTGAGGGAGGATGTGGATTTCTGTCTAAATCTTCCCAAATTTGGGCAAACCTATTGATATGGGAGTTAATCTGAATTTTATAATCTTCAAGATAGCCACCATCAAAAACTACACAGGATAACCAAATCTCAACACAATTATTTCCTTTAAAGAAAAATAAATAATGCTTGGCTATGTTCCTCTATTTTCAACTAGGCTAGCCAGACTTCCCAGTGCATATACACTAAAGAAAGCCAGATGATGGGAAACATAAACCAACCTTGCTTACAAAATGAAAAACCTGTTATATGAAAACATAAATTTATGAAATAGTTAAGAGGAGAGTTAAAAATAATTTCCACTTTTACAAACTATGCAGCTTAAAGGACAAATACATTTAAAATATGGTCCCGTTCATTTTAAACCAGAGTATAATCTTCAGATTACCTGTGTTGTGTTTATCAGAGCACCAGGATAAATCATTGTGCAGTCATAATTATTTTCATTCTTATATCTAGTAAATAAATTTCTGTCATTCTAGTGAAAGGCAGAGGATTAGTGTGTAGATGCTGAATACAGGCTTACGGTCTGATTTAAATTAATTGTGCACAGGTTTGTTTCTAAATGATTTCAAGGCTCTGAGACATAGATCTACTAGTCTACATTTTATACAATCAAAACCCACATCTGAATATGTGGTTGCATTTTCAACAGATATTTCCAAGGAAAGATGTTAAGGGAGACAAGGGAGGAGAGAGGGATGTGATTGGGATCATTCAAAGGCAACTTGCTTTGGAGTGTGCTGAGGGGGCTAAACAGACCTGAACAGGCTGCCACTGTGCCATGCTTTGAGCAAACCAGACACGATCCTACCATTCCTTGTCAGAAAGCAATCATGACCATGAAGTGCACTTACCTAGAAAAGCAGAAGGGGAGACGGTGCCATTACTTCTAGAGACCATGACACTGATCCCCGTCTCTACGAAGGGCACAGAGAAATCCACCACTTCGGAACGCTCCTCGTTGATGGTGAGTGAACCCACTGCCATGACGGCCCGTTGATAGACCACCTGGATGCCAGCCAGAGAAAGAACAGCACATTTACCTGTCCTTCCCACCAGCCCTGAGGACCGCACCCTAAGTCTGTATGAGAATGCGTGGGATGCAAAGAGAACTTACTTCACCGATCATCCCATTCCACACATTGTTCACTTTCTTGCCGTGCTTCCCATTAGTCACCAGGTAAAGATCATAGGTAAACTTCACAGTTCTGGAAAGCTTCTTGAGGATATCAATGCAGAATCCCTTGCAACATTTTTTCACATTCATTCCTTCATTGGTTGAATTGCTGGAGAGAAAAATCCCAAGACCATAGGATATTAGTAATGGAGAACTGGTTCACAATCATTAGACACAGTCGTCTGCTAATTTTCATTTTCAGACTCAAATGAGAAAGTGGTTCTCCCAAGGACATGCAGGGAGTTTATGATTGTGAAACTGTAAAGTGTTCTTAATTATACAGTAATTGTGACAAAGGCTAACATTTATTGAGTAATTATTATTTGTATGCACTCTGCTAAATGCTTTATACCAATTGTTGGATTAATCTTCATGACATTTCTCTGAACTTAGCATATTTGTATCTGCATTAAAGGTGAGAGTTACCACCTCTTACTTTAAGAGTTTATAATACATACAACCTCTTTGAACCAGAGTTTAGTCATCAAATGTCATCTGAATTCAGTCCAACTGAATTATAAAAATCTTACTGGAAAATGGAAGACAGAGGATGAAACTCTCAGGTGAAAAAGAGTTTTGATTTATCCTATCACTGCAGATGGAACTTTGCAACCAAATGGAAAAACTAAGGGTGGCTTGTTTGGGAAAGGCACTTTCCTTATTGAGGAAAACGCTTCAGCTAAGAATCAAGAGACCTGGGGTCTACTCTGCCTTTGAGTCCATGGACTTAATGTCTCTTGATGGAGTCATCTGTCAAATGAGGGCTCATTAATAACATTTTCTCTCCCTACCTACATGACAGGAGTGTAAAAGGTGACTCTGTTAAATAGCAGTGTCCTTGAGTAGGAAAAAGTCCTCTTAAAACAGAGGCAATTGCTGTCTTTAAAGTTATCTTACAATCTGCCAAGGTTATCTTTATTGCTTTATGCCAGTCACCTGGCTTTATGTACTCGACCAAGTCTCACTCAAAGGACACACCCAAAAAATTAGGAATGTCTTTCAAAAGGAAGGAAACAGGGGTCTTGCCAAGTGATAATAAAAGGTACTCAGACACCTCATGTAGGACGATTAGGACCCGAGGGCAGTGTACTTGTTTCATGTTGCTGCACTGGGTCACTCCCCTGGCTCAGCACTATGCATGCATGATGTGTGTTCTGTTTGAATGTTCCATGGTTGGCGCCTCTACATGTTGGACTATTACTTGAGCACTGAAATGATGTTGATGGAAATTCAACATCATAATGGAAAAGATGTTTCCATATTACATGATAGCTGCTGAATGTGCATGGCCATATAAAAGCAGATGAATTTATGACATATCTGTGCAGAAAAACAATGAACTATGAAGAATAGCTATTTTTGAATGGTAAGAATATTTTTTCTCTTTTTCACATTCGTAGGCCAAATTATTGGCCATGAGTATACACTGCATATATCATGGACACACACACACACACACACACACACACACACACTGAGCACCACTGATGCAGAGCTATACCTGCAGCCATCATATGGGTCAACTTGACAACATGACTTTGGTAATGTAAGTGGGCTGCAAAATGACACCATTTTTTCAATGCTTCCTTATCTCAGGCTCATAGCTCACTTCTCCTTAATCACTAATCACCCCCGGCTCCCCGTCGTCCTGTTGCTGACATCAGCTCAACCAACCTCCTTCTGCTAGTCAGGACCACCATGCCACTGTGGAGATTTGTTCTCTGCTCTGGCAGCTGGATGACCTGCTTTGAACCTGCTGCCCTCTGCTTAGAAGCCATGGGAGGTCACAGCTATGCTTGTTCACATGGAGGATGGCTGGACTCAATGCTGGAGGCAGGTATCTTTCTTATCCCCAACAATTTCCCCGGGTGAAGGGGGCTAGGCTGGACTTAACAACTGCCATAAACATCATAAAAGTGTGTCCTAAGTGCATTAAATTAGTGACATATCCCAATATGATTTCCTTCTTTGAATTCACCTGTGGCTTTTTATAAAACATGGTAGAATTGAATTCTCTCTTTTCCTTCCTTCCTGACAGGCCATGCACCCATGCCTCTCCTCCACCTCTCCCACTCATGTCTTCTTCACTCTCTGCTCCTTCCCTCCCTCTCTCCCAGCCTCTCCCTTCACCTAGTCAAGTTTCCCAGGACAGTCTGGATGTAAGTTAAGCCCCAGGTTTTAGATTCAGGTACACAGGGAACCTGACTTTGTTACTGGGAATCGCAGCTAGCTAATGAGTTAATTATCACCCCACACCCCCTTACATTGGGGATGGTCCTTGATGTGTTTTTTGCCCAAGAAGTAACCCATTGTGTAAGACATGGACTAAGACCTTAGGCAAAAAGACATGCAGCAAATGCAATAGCTGAATTCACCATGGGGTTATGGAAACACAGATCAGCTTGCAATTCAGAACTTCATTGGTCCCTATCATAGTCTGTGCCTGTGTGTCTGTGTGTGTGTGGTGTGTGTGTATGTGTTGGATGTGTGCCCCACCCACACAGAAATCTGAGTGTCCACAGAAATCTGAGTGCTCATGCAATGTCTCTCTACCATCACCCAAAAGAACTCATAAAACAAAATGTGGAGGAAAGGAATCCAATAATTCATCCAATTCTTTGGTTCTACAATTCCCCAGAATGGCCAGTGCAAACAGAATGGCCTTGCAGATCGGGCTGAGTTGCTTCCGCATCCTGGGTCTGCTTCTAACAGCCTTGGGAATGTGGGTGAATGTCTTCATTTGCCAAACCTGGTTTACTTATCTGTCAATTGAGCAGACTGATTCTTACCTTGCAGGATAGTGGTGAAGATTAAATGTAAAGTACCTTCAGCACCTCTCACATAAGTCCTTAAAAATACATTTGCTTTCTTTTCACCGAGGATTTCAGTTGGGGCGCTTAATCGACAGCATGGCCATTTCACTCTACATACCAAGTCAGATCATTTCCCCTCAATTTTCTCTTCATTCCTAACAACCAGGTTAGAAGAAAAGACTGATTTCTCAGTTTATTCCCTAGCACCTGTTTTTGTTTTTGTTTTGTTTTGTTTTGGTAAGAAGACCCTCAAGACCTCATTTATCAGAAGTGAGAGACAGAGAAATTTTCCTTGGAAAGTATCACTCATAAAAAATATAATGATGTTAGCTAACAGGAATCCTTTTGGAGGCAATCAGTCTGTTTCAAAGATGCTACCTTCAGGAAAAGAAATGTAAGTAATCTGCGCTAATATTGGGGTTAATGGATTCTAGTAATTTTCTATTGCTTTCAGGTAAATCCAAGACATTTTCCTCACTAAAGGTGGCCATGTGGCCACATGGCTGGAGGCTCCTGCAAGCCGGGAACTAAACACATGAACTCGAACCTGTTCATCTGTTTTCATTCTTCAGTAGAAAAGCCAACTCCTTGGAGGAGAGGTACTTATTTGGGGGCCCTTTATCACCACACAAATGGAGACTCACACCTTGGTGATCTTTGTTTTCATCTCCAAGGCTTCTGAGTTCTAAGACCTTTCACTTGCTTGGGCTAATGAAGGCTGCTCCATTGATGCTGTTATCATAAAGCAGGTGCCCTGCTAGGGTTGTGCTCCTGGCTTGGTGCCAACCATTTTGTGTCTTTATATGCCCATGTTCAGCTCAAAGAATACCCACCCAAATCAAAATCTCCTCTGACAACTACCCACATCACCCCTGCTACCTCCTTTCCAATTCATTACTTCCTATCACTGTACTAGGCTACCTCCGGGTTCCCAAACTCACCAATCTGCCCCAGGACCTTTGCTCTTGCTGCCCTCGCTACCTGAACGGCTCCTCCTTCAGCACTTCATGTGCTTCACTCCTTCTCATCCTTGATGTGACCTTAAACCTTACCTATTTGAGCTAATGGAACCCCACATCCCCCCAGTTTGTCTATCACACCACGCTACCTACAACCTTTACAAGGTTTATCAAAACATGGAGCTGTTTCCTTATTGGTTGTGTTAACTCTTTAACTGTGAACAATCCATGACTGCAAGATCCGTGTCTTCCATCTTCTCTGTTATTAATATCCCCTGTGCCATCACTGTGCCTGATAAGCAAGCTGTGTTTAATGCCTATTTGTTGACTAATCTATTCAGAATGTCAGCTCCAAAGAGGCTGACAACTCCAAAAGGCTAATCATTATTTATTGAATAATCTATTCAGAATTCCCATAACCAAAGAGACTGCTCCATTGATGAAATTTTTTTCTCCAAAGTAAAATATGCCTCTGTAATACATGTAGCAATCATCTTTTTTTTTTTTTTTAAACCTTTATCCTAAGTGCTGAGCTCTGGGGATTTGCATCTTGTATAATAGTAACTTAGGTTGGAGTTTGGAACGTGGGGTGTCAAAACATCCTTTCATTCACCTGTTCAATCATCACCAACATTGGCGATCATGTTCTGTGCTTGGCCCTGGGGCTTCAAAGATTAATCAGCCACCTTCTCTGTATTTAGGAGGTTCATAACTCCAGAGGGAAAGACAAACTATGAGCTATGAAATGGTGTTAAGGAAAGAGACAGAATGCAATGGGCTGATATTCATGTTCTCCCCAAATTCCTATGTTCAGACCCTAAATCCCAATGTGACAGTGTCAGGAGGTGGGGGCTCTGGAAGATAATTAGGTCATGAGGGTGGAAGGTATATGTTGACACCCAAGTGAAGTTTTGAAGAGTTTTATAAATTTTGGATCTGGGAAATGCAAAAATGATGTAAAAAAGTAGAAAGATACAGGTTGGGGGAGTAGCTAAAAATAAGAAAGAAATAATTACTCAGGCAAAGACAAGGGAGCGTTGATTCAGCACCATGGTCAGGAACGTGGCTCTGGGCTACCTCCTCCACTTACTAACTGAGTGACCTCGACTGGGCCTCTCAAATCGTCCCCAAACTCTGCTTTGACATGTTTAAAGTAAGCACAACCATCTCCCTTCCATGGCTGTTGTTGGAATTAAATAATGCAAACCACTTGGTGTTGTTCTAGGTATTTAAGCTTTTTAGAGAATTATTTCTATTACGCCTCTCATAATAGAATCTATTTTATATTACCTTTCCTTATTTTATCACCAATAGTGCCGTTATTAATGACACATGTTCTTTTAAATGACTGGGCACATCCTCCCGCCAGGTGCCCAGACTCACTTGATCTTGACGAACTTCCGACAAGGCACTGTGCTCCTCACACACGTCTCTGTCAGCGGGTCTATGTCCTCCACGATGACGAAGGGGGCCTCCTCCAGGGTGACAATACTCAGGTGGTTGTCGTCTGGCTCGCAGTCCGAGAAGGACTTGTACCTGGGCCACACGGCGTGCCGCAGGCTCAGCGTCTGGTTCTCCCACTTGCCCACCTGCATGGGAAAGACAGACACTCCTGTGTTTCCTGGCACCACCAACTTCTAGAAAGGCAAGTCCTTCCCCCTAAGAGGATGGGAGAAGAACCTGGCCAGAACCTCAGGCCTTTTCTGTTGCTCACCTCAAAGTACACATCTGTCCATAGATTAAGAAAATGGAGCTAAAGGGGAAGCAGAATCGGGGGAAGCTCTGTGCCTGGGCTGTCTCCAGACTAATTAAATAGGGGGTTCTTCCTGGGCACTGATACTTTTAGTGCTCTCTGGATGATTCTAATGGCCTGCCAGGGTTTGGGACCACCAACGCCTTGAAAACAGCACAGGCTTTCAAAATGAGACCCGTCTGGGGCTGAATCCCCGACTCTGCCACTTACACTGGTACAACCACAGGCAAGTTCCTAAGCACCATCAGCATCTCTTCATCTGTTAAACAGGGTCAATTTCACCTTCTTTATAAGGTTGGCATGGGAGCGACATAGGGCAATTTGTGAAAAGCATATAGCAGAGCTCTCTGCACAGGTAGGGCTGCCATATGCTTCTCTGAGTAGAGGAGAATGAAAAGGAGAAAGATACAAAATACAAAGGTGCCAAGAAAAGAGACCGAGAGGAAGAGGATGTGAGGATGGCGGGAGTGACCACAGCGGGGGACAGAGGGGGACAGAGCCAGAGGGAATCACAAGCACCGCCATTTCCAGCTCAGCTGCGAGTCTATTTCAGTTGCAAATGAAGGTGAACTTTTATGAATCGGGTGCAGAGTGGAGACTTCTACTGCTTAGCGTACGTCAAGACCTGTCAAAACAGAATCGATTGTGTTCCCTGCGAGCAGCCGTCGGCATCTTGGAGAAATCAAATTGAAGGCTGTATGTTTTGAACCTTAATTTTATCTGACAACTTATTGGCACTGTTCACACACACACACACGGGGAGCAGGCTGCCCCCCCATGCCATGCTTCCTCCTTCCTTCTCCTGCTTCCACGCACAACTGCTTGACCCCATAGGTCAGAGCTTTATTTGCAACACCAACCTCAAGCAAAATGCCTCCACTGAAAAGCTAAGCGCTGAGTGCAGGCTTCTCTGTGTTGATGTGACCCCCTCCTCACCTCGCCTCCTGTAATGCAAGTGTCACCAGAAGCGAATCTCAGCCCTTAAAGAGAATTCAGACACGGGGACACCAGGAGAGATGATTGGGTGGGGCAGGGTGATGAGCTCATCCTCTGGGCTAGAAAATTTTCGTTGCTTGTAGGGAAACCTCCCTTGTGATCAATTACAACATTGTCAGTGATGCCGATACCTTCCCTTTCAGATGGGAAGGACATTAGAGGAATTTGATTAAACATGTTCATCTCCCCAGGCTGAGATGTTTAACAAGGCCTCGTGCCACAGCTGCCTGGGACATGACAGCCTGGCTCCAGCCTTTGGTAGCCATCAGCCAGCAAGTTCCCCATACGCCGGCTACCTCGGTACTTCAACACGCATTATTCCTCCACTGGGAAAATGGTGAGTCTCAGTGGCAGAAGCACTGGCTGAGGACGTAGAGGCCTCAGTTCCACCACCTTTGCTTGGTGTTGGTGTTTGTCCTCATCTATAACAGGGATGCTGTGGGTGGGCTTGGAATGCAATCTCTAAGGTTTTTCATGTCTAAGGTCCTGGTGCAAAATACAGAGAAACTTGCCCGTCCAACTAGATCCTGACTTTCGATCAGATGCCCAAGGCCAATGTCCTCAGGGACAAGTCATTAGTAGTGGAGGGTAAGTGAGCAGGTGCACAGTGAGGTGTGAAATGAGTCCCTAAAATGACCAATTACATAGTTAGGTAACTGACTGACCAAACAAATTTGAGGGGAAAACAAAAACAAAAAGCACCCCCCCGCCGCAACAATAATCCAAGAACCAGGGTGTGAGATGTGTGAGGACTTGCTGTAAGATCTTCATGCTTTTTCTATGAATCGAAAACTATTCTAGAAGGAAGATGCTATTTAAATTTTCTTTCTGAAAGCACAATAGGGAAGTTTCATTTTATTTTATTTTTATGCTCAGTGAAATAAGCCAGAAGGAAAAAGAAAAATATTGGATGGTTTCACTTACAGGAGGAATAGAGGGGAACAAAATAAGGGATCAGGGGAAAAAATAAAAATAAAAAACAGGAGGGAAGCTTTAAAATAACATATTCTCAGCGAGACAGAGCAACAGGTGTGCCCAGAATTTGAGCTCTGAGAGCATCTCCTGGTCCTACATGCCAGCTGTGCCCCCTGGGTTAGCTGCCTTGGTCTCACCGAAAAGATGGTATGATGACAGAGGAGTAACCCATAGACAGCCGGGGGCACAAATTAGTGACGATATGGAAAGAACAGAAATGTCCAGCAATCGCGAGAGAGGGGCAATGTGTTGCTATTTTGTTGTTGACATCAAAAAAAAAAAATAGGGGAGTTCAAGTGTTTGTGTGTTTTAACTAAAGGAAAGCATTTCTTGGGCCTCCCCGGTGGTGCAGTGGTTGAGCGCCGCTCTGTGAAGCTGTCCACAGCCTCTGCAGCGCGGGTTCGATCCTGGCTGGCCAGGGAGATTTCCACATGGCGCGCAGACCTCTCCTGCCGCACCCGCTGCTCCCCTCAGCAGTGTCTTCGGTCATTCTGCCTGTTCTGCTCCCTGCTCTGGCTCTGGTGAATTCTCTCACCCTCCCACACTTCTGACTGTACCCCAGCTCTTGTATAAATAAATATATATATATTTTTTTTTTAAAAAGGAAAGCAGTTCTTGATACTGACTTTAGTTTGATGGGCTCACAGTTCTTCCCACGTTGGTAATTTTCTTTTCTTTCTTTCTTTCTTTTTTTTTTTTTTTTTTTTTTTTGTGGGACCCTCGCCAGTGGCCGGGGATCGAACCGGCGCTGCAGAGGCTGAGAGCAGCCTTGCAGCCCAGCGCTCAACTGCTGCGCCACCAGGGGAGGCCCCTCACGTCAGTAATTTTCATCACAAATCATAACACTTTTCTTTTCCCTGCAGTTTTATAATAATCTGCTGTTTTTGCTTATCCAGCATCCATTTCCCTTATTTTTGGTAACAATGTATTGATTTTCCCTCCAGAGAGACCCCTACCTCCACTTTCAATAATAAGCACACGTTCTTTATTTGGTTAATAATTGGGGCCACCAAGGTGCAGCGATTAGCTCAGGGGTGTGCATGTGGCCTAAGCTGACCAGTGGCAACTTTCCTGGCACTTTTGTGGGACTATTGGTATAGGGTGGTCAGGACCTGAGATGACTAAAGAAATAAAAATAGAGAGAAGAGAGCAATGAAGTGGCAGCAGCCTGCTTAAGATCTTGTAACAATCAAAGTTGACATCATTGGGCACTTACTTGTACTAAGCACTATTCTTAGCTCTATTTAATTCTTATTAACATTACATACACACACACACACACACACACTTTCCTCATTTCACCAAATGTACACCCACATCACTCCCTCTGCCGCCCTTTTTCTTCTACCTGGAATTCCTCTCCTTTTCATCCCTGCCGACTGCAAGCCGACACACAAATACAAATGATTTTTTTTTTTAAATTGAAAACAGTTCCCAGCTCACCCAAATAGGCTGTATGCGAGGAGAAAGAGAGCTTTGCCTTCCAAATATACTGAATTCTGGTGATAAACCTTGGAGTGTTTTCAGCAAATATACTGAGGTTTTGAGGACAAAGGAAAATAATTGACCTCTGATGGAGAAAAGTGATTTTGTTAAAAGAACTCTAAAAAGGGAAAATTAACTTTGTGGTGGTTTTTTTGGGTCCGTTCTTACTAATAAAAATTTAAATACAGTGCTTTTAGAAAGCTAATTGCTCTTCAGCTCCTAGAAAGTGTTTTGTGAAAGGGCAGTGATTACTTATCAAAATATTCAGCTAATATTTTCTTTGAACAGAGATAATTTCATCTCCAGAAAGTTCCTTAAGTTAATAGTCACCTCTTTGAGACTGGATAAGTCCAGAGAGATGTCAGAGAGGCTTCAAGAGATTAGAAAGCACTTGATTAAAAGATGTGTGTGGCTTTTCTTGCAAAGAGATGTGAACCCTGGCTCTCAATTGACCTAGTCATGAAATGCTTATAAGACAATTAAAATCGCCTTATAATGGGGCTCTTGGACTCCTAACGGCCTCCAAAAAACATATCTAGAAAACCAAAATCATAGTTCTCCCCAGCACTCATGTCACCTGCAGAATCAAATCCAGACGCTCTCTTACATGAAAGGACCCTATCACACTGGACCAATCAGCCTCACCACACTATCTCCCTCTAGTTCCCACACCCTGCACATAAGCTCACAAAAACACACACAGGTGTCATTCACAGCCACTGACACCGATACCTCCGCGTGCCCACACGTGCACAGACACATAGGGATACCTGTGTGTAAGGAGACATGCGTTGTGTGCATGCACCTATGCACCTACACCCAGTCCTATACATGAACACACACCCACACACATACACTCATGGCTACCTGAACTCACGATACACGCACACGCTCACCTCTACACACACGCACGACTACACACGCACATACAACCATGAGCCACAGACACGTCCACTTTCCACATTTCACCAAATGTACACCCACTTCCCTACCTCTGCCGCACCTTTCCTTCTACCTGGAATTTCTCTCCTTTCCATCCCTGCTGACTGCAAGCCGACCCACTATTGCCATCTCCAGCCCCAATACCACTTCTCCCATGGAGCCTAATTCTCTGGCTGGAATTCATTTTTGCATTATCTGTGTCTCTGGAACATTCTCTTTCCCTTGAATTCCTTCACTTGTTCATTCATGAGCTCAGCACACAAGTGACTGTTGCTTTGAGCCAAGTCAGGCCCTGCAGAGGCCCTGGGGCTACAATCCTGAGCTGTCCTCAGGGTGTCCTGTCTGTTTGGAAACTACTCTGCTGGAGCAAAGCAGTGACACGCCGTGCTGGGGGTGACACGGACGTGAGTCGCAGGGTGCTCAGGCCCTGACAAGTCA